GGAGGGCGGGAGAGCCCAGGGCGGCCTCCTCCTCCCTCCACCTTTGGACCTTGAGCACGCCGGGCCAGACCCGTCTATGTCCCTCTCATCCTGGATCCCATGCCGGCGACAGAAGCCGGGACGGTCCAGCCGGGCAGATCCTTCTCTCCAGCCGGGCAGCAGCGGTTCTCTGGGAAGGACGCAGGGGGTCCGGGGAGGCCCAGGGCCTAGAGGACGGTCAGACTCAGAACCGTGGACCGGTGAAGCCGTCACAGACGAGTCTCAAGAGCCAGGCATCTGCAGGCTCACACGGTTCAGTCCGCTTTGCTTTTCTAGCTTCCGTCTCAAACCCGCCTCTTCCAGGCAGCCTTCCTCGCTTACTTCCTTGATCCATAATTCTTAATCCATAATAAACATTTGGTTTGAAGCATTTCATTTTCTTGCCACTTGGTGCCACATCTGGGGTGCGTGTCCCCCGACTGTAAGGGTCCCTCTACTCGATTGCCTGCTACCCTCTTGCTTGCCCAAGACTACGGATCAGGAAAACAAGGCCAGTTGTTTAGACGCCATTTAAACAATACCGTGCTAAGCGCTTTGTTTTCAATTACCTCATTTAATCTTGGCAACGCCCAGGTGAGGCAGGCGCCTTACGAAGGCGGAAACTGAGGCCTAGAGGACCAGCAGGGTGCAGGGGGCTTGCCCGAGGTCCCAGAGGGAGATGGAGCCCACGCCTGTTTCCTCACCTCCACACCGGACCTCCCGACACACACTCCTGCTTCCTCTTCCTGCCTTGCTTTCTTTCCCAAGACCAGGGCAGCCAGCATCTGACTCAGTTCACCCCCTCCGGCCTGAGTGCGGCAGCGGGCGAGGCTGCCGTCCCCGGTCAGAGGTGAGGAAACCTGCTGCAGAGGTAGGACCACACGGGCCCCAGGGCACCGAGCTGTGAGGGATCCCCGGGGGGGCACCCAGCGAGCTCTGGCCACCGGCTAACCGGCCAGCCGGGTCCCCCCGCCCCCGCCCCCACGGCCTTCCTGCCGACTCTGCAGAATTGGCCTTGCCCGCATACCTGGCCCTCCTCCCTGCGGGTCCTCGGCCAAGACCCTGCGGCTGAGCCCAGGGCGAATTCCTGCGCAGCTGCCGCTTTCCCCGCTTTCCCTAACTACAATCGCAGCCCGCCAGCCGGCAGGGATGAGGCAGACGGGGAGCTGTAAAGCCTTTTTAAAAGGGGCAATAAAAGTTTTGGGTTTCAGATGGTCTTACTGAAGAAGAGAATAACAGAGACAGGAAATGTCGGTAGCAGGCAAAGGCCACGGGCACACAGACTGCCCTCAGACCAAAACACCTCCTTCTGAGCAAACAGAGGCCGCTGGCTCCCCGGGCGGACCCCGCCCCAGCTCCAGGGAGGCGGAGGGGCCCCTACGATAGACTGTTTTGTCTGCGTGGTTGTAAGTGTTTATAATACTTCTGCGTTTGCCTTTTGCCGCTGGGGGTGTGTGGCTCCCCCTGCAGCCGAGCTCTGTGTGTGTGCACGTAAGTGTGCACGGGCGTGTGCGTGTGCATGCGTGTGCACGTGCGTGTGCGTGTGTGCGCGCGCGCGTGTGCCTGGGTCGGGGGCGCCGGTGCTCAAGCGGGGGCACTGCTCCGTGCCCCTTGCCCTGCGGGGTCTGGAGGCCGCGTCCAGGCGCAGGGAGGCCTTTGCGCACTCCCAGCCCCCAGGGTGCAGGGAGGATGCGGCGAGCCGAGAGGGCGCGTCCTGGGCGCTGCAGCCCCTCGGCCCGCGGCACGTGCTTTCACTCAGGACCCCCAAACCTGCACGTCCAGGGAGCTGTCCCGTTCCTTCGGTTTCTGGCAGACGCGCCGTCCCGTGCGGTAGGCGCCGGCCGCGGCCGCGGGGATAGGACAGAGAGCTGCATCGGATTTGAATCTCAGATGAGCGGCGACTCTTGTCTTCCTGTAAGTGCGTCTCATGTAAATAGGTCCCAAATACCGCGTGAGACACACGTAGGCGAAATCATCGTTTTTTTGTTTATCTGAAATTCATGTGTAACCGGGTGTCCTGTATTTTATCTGCAACCCTCCACACGTGGCTTCTTACATTTAGATTAATCAGCTCCTCCGTGGCACCAGCCACAGTTCAAATGCCCTGCGGCCATGGGTGTGACGGGCAGTTGGCGTGGGGGTGGTCTCCTCATCTCCATCATTTAAAGTTTTTGTTTTTAATGTTTACTTAGTTTTGAGAGAGAGGGAGAGAGAGAGAGAGCATGAGTGGGGGGGGGGTGTTAGAGAGAGAGGGAGACACAGAATCCGAGGCAGGCTCCAGGCTCCGAGCTGTCGGCACCGAGCCCGACGCGGGGCTCGAACCCACGAACTGCGAGATCATGACCTGACCCGAGGTTGGACGCTAGTGGACTGAGCCCCCCGGGCGCCCCCGCCTCGCCTCCATCATTAAAGCAAGTTCTACTGCACGGGCTGCTCTGGGGCTGCCATCATCTCGGGCTCGGCTTCCAGGCACACGCTGGAGTCGGGACCCAGGCTTCCCTCATCAGGTCTGGCTGGAGGTGAGTCCCATCCAGAGCCCCAGGGGGCCTGGGGGGGAGCCCGCGGAGGTCCCTCCTGGCACCGGGTGCTATGACTGCTGGATTCTAGGGCACGAAGGCCCCGGGCTCGAGGACACTGGGACTCAGAGGTGTTTGGTCTGAAGGCCATGAGACTTCTTTTCTTCCTTGTTAGTCTCGAGGTGTAGGGCTGGAGGTTCCTAGTGGCCTCTTCTCTTTCTGTCCCCCTCCCGGGCACTCCCCCCCTGGCCCTTGGCTGGAGCCCCCAAGATGTCAAAGTGGGCCTTGGAAGCAGAGGAAGATGCCGCTAGGGTTGGGAGTAAGACCCTGGGCACAGCCACCGCTCAGCACCCAGTGTCCAAGTCACCGGGGCCGGCCGCCGGCCTCCCGGCCCTCCGTGTCCCTATCTGCACCGTGGGGTCTCCACGGTGCTGACCCTGCTGAGGAGGGGCGCGGTGGGCCTAGAGCCCCAGAGGCGGACGGGGCTGAGGGCTGGAGCGAGCCTCCTAATTGTCCATGACTTACAGACTTGGCTGGGCTCCCAGACGGCCTCATAAATCAGCGTGGCCGCAGTGAGTAGCCTGTTAGTATGGTCCTTAACGCTCTTGGCCGGCCCCTCACCTCCTCCCTGCTCAGGAGCATCCCGCGGCCTCCAACTTTCCATCTGCTGCCGCGGAGCTGGGAGCTGGGGTGTGCTCGCCGGGTGTGTGGGGGGGGACACGGGGGAGGGGATGGGAGGGAGGTGACGGGGAGGGAGGCGACTGGCAGAGGCCTGCTTCCAGAGTGATGCCCGCGGGCCCCCCCGCGTGGCCCCCACAGCCTTCCCTTTCCTTCCTGCCCGGTGTCTCCCCTTGCGGAGCTGGGAGACAGGCCGGACAGGACGATGCTGTTTCCAGGGGGCCCTATCTCTTCACGGTGTGAGCGGGCACCTGTGTGTGCACACCCCTCAACCGGACCAGAAGCCAACGGACGCGGCTTCTGCCCCTCCCTGCGCCGGGCGGGGGATGCGGGGACATGTCCGTCTGGGAGGACGGCCCCGAAGCTGTGGGCTCAGCTTCCTCAACTGGGAAGCAGAGCGAGGCTGAGGCCTGCTCCCCGGGGCCCGGCCAGGACTCCGAGCCCGTGCGAGCTGCCCAGAGGCTGCTCTGTCATCCAGTCTGTAGGTTCAGGAAGGGGCTGAGCCAGAGTGAGACTGTGGGCGTCCGGGCCCCACACGTGGGACCTCTGGACAGTCAGGGAGGCCGACAGACCGGGGGTGCCTCGCCGAGGGGCCGGCCTTGTCCCCAGCTCTCTCCCGGCCCCCTCAGGGGAGCAAGAGTTGACTTCAGGACAAATAAGGGGCCGCCCCGTGCGGTGGGGGTGGGGGTGCACCGTCTGGAAACACAAAACGGGCCCCAGACAGGTGTAGGTAACTTCCTGCCTGACAGATGTGCCCACATCATTCGGGAAGCTGGGGTGGGCTGGGGCTGCTGGGGAGGCTCAGGTTTGTGAGGTGATGTCTGGGAGGCCGGCTCCCGCCCTCGCGGGGCCCAGCGCAGACGGGCTGTAGGCGGGAGCCGGCCGCCCTCCCTCAGCACTGCCGCAAGCCTGCCCCGTGCGCCTGGCTCTGGGCCCGCCGGCCTCCGCGCGGGTGTCCCTGGGCCCAGACCCCCTTCCCACGCTGGCTGTTAGCCCAGGGTGGAGCCGCTCTCGAAGGGCCAACACAGGTGCTCGCGCCCAGCCCATGGGCGGCTCCACAGCGAGGGGGCGGGCTTGGTGGCGGCGGGCCTGGCCCGGGTCTGCACTCGCCTGCTCGAGGCCTCGGACACACCATGGACCCTGCGCCTCGGGCTTCTGTCTGTAGAAGGGAGTGGTCATCCTTTAATGCAGACTTGCTTTACCAATTAGATGAATCGATGATCATATGGCTTCTGGCACACAGGAAGGTCAAGGGTTGAGGAGCTTCCTGTGGGCTGCCGTTACTGACAGGGCTTGATTCAGGGACCCGGCTGGAGGGACGGCCAGCAGGCCTGGACGGAGCTGGCCCCCACTGGCCTTGGCTTCCTACACGGGTCTGCTCAGAGCCCGAGGGCACAGGACAGAAGCGGTGACAACCAGGGCCCAGGAGGAGACAGGTGTTGTGAGGGGGACATGGGCAGAGTCCCTCTGTGGCTGGGTGAGGAGGAAAGGGGGACGGGGGGGGACACATGTTGGCTGTGGGGTCCTGTGGACGCAGACTGGCCATGACTGTGGGGGAGCAGGAGCGGGGCAGGAAGTCCTTTTCTTTCCAGCACGGTGGTTTGTCCTCCGCAGAAACCTAGTAAGTGGGCTCCCAGCAGCCCTCGGCAGGATGCTCCCCAAATCCCTCTGAGGGGAGACATTTCTCCCGGATGCTCAGAGCCGGGGGGGCCACGGGGGTCTCTCCGCAGGCGGGAGATGCGGCAGGGCAGGGGCTGGCAGGGGGCAGGGGGCGGGCGCGGTGCGCAGTCAGACGCAAGCACAGCAGAGGGCGGGGCAGTTCAGCTTGGCGGGGGGCCCCGAGCTTCCGGCCTTCTTGTTGACCTTGGGCAGCAGGAGGACGAAGGACATGGCCAGCGCGCAGTGGTAGAAACTGTGCACGTAGGTGTAATCCCAATCCTGCAGGGGTGGGGGTGGGTGGGGTCAGTCTGGGGCCCCAGGCCCCCCTCCCCGACTCTCTGGGCGCCTGCTTGCACGCCGGCCTGCCTGGCTCCCCAGGGCATCTGCCGGTCACCTCCCCGCCCCCACTCAGGAATGTGGCCAAGTGGCCTCCTCCAAGGAGCCTCCCCTCAGTGTCCGGCCCAGGCCATCTTTCCTGACGTCAAACCCCACTCGCTAGGCCTTTGACAAGGCGTCCGGGGCTCCTCCCTGCCCCCTCCCTCCTCCCTCCTCCCTGCGGGTGCTGGCCCCCACCCCAGGCCCCATCTGGGCCGTGCGCCTCGCCTCAGGTGCGCGCAGGCAGCGATCGATCGCCCCGGTGCTGGGGACGAAGCAGGCTGTGGCGGGAGGGAGGGAGGCTCCCCTCCGCCCACCCGGAGGGACAGAAAAGCAGGAATGTGAGGCCACCCCGAGGAGGCTCAGGCCTTGTACCTCAAAGAAGAATCGTAACATGAGGGCCAGCGCCCCGAAACAGAGGCCGGGGCCTATCTGCTGGGTGTAGACGCTCTTGTCGGGGTACAGACCCTTCTTCTCCTTCATGAGCTGCAGCTGCGGGGAGAGTGGCCGGTGATGTGGGGGACGCCGCCCTGGGCTGCCCGGAGAGCTCGCCCCGGGCATGAGCACCTTGGCTACACTCGGGCAGGGGCTGGGGCGCAGGGAGACGCCCCACGTGCCCAGCCTCGCGGCTGCAGGACCCAAGGGAGCCCCCAGCCTGGACAGCTGAGCTGGGAACTGCGGGGCCAGTACCCCCCCCATGGGGACCCCACCCCTGCCTGCCTCTTCGGGATGTAACAAGGCCACCCTTCCACATGCACCTCCCCCAGCCGGAGGGGACCCGTCCAGGGCACCAGTCACAGCAAGGGGGTGTTGGAGCACTGGCCCTGCCCGCCAGTATGGCCGGTGGGGGCGCCCGTGTGGTGCTCCGAAAGTCCCTTTGGTTGCTTTCACCGGTGTCCCATCGCAGTGTTTATGAGACAGCCTGACCCCGCACGTTCCATCTGTGGTTTCGCAGGCCCTGATGTTAGCGGAAGGCTCAAGCGGGCACTTGAATTCGGGTTCACATGCACCGAAATCATGCAGTAAGTGTAGGGCCACACCCTGAAATCTCGAACCCTTGGCCGTTCCAAAGTGTTTCAGAGAGCGGGGTGTTTAGGCCTGTGGCAAGCCTCCACATGCACACTGCGAATGGTGGAGGCCCCCCGGGGGCTAGGGAAGTGCCCCCCTCGCCCACACCAGCCCACCAGGTGGAGTGCACAGAGACCCCGAGTAGCCTTGGGCCGGGGCAGGGCAACTTTGGCCGCCAGAGCCCGGTTTTCAGGTTTCTGTAATTTACCATTGCCCGATAAGGAATCAGGACCTGCACGGCACACATAGGGCTTGGGTGCGGCTGGGGGCGTCCTGGGTGTGGGTGGCCACGGCCGTGGCTGCCCCAGGTCGTGCCCCAGCCTGGCCTGACCAGCCCTGCACCCCCCGCACCCGGCTCGGCTTCCTCTCCCCGAGGGTTGCTGTTCCCAACTCTGGCTGGAGAAGGGACGAGCCTCCGGGAGAAAAATCCACCCTCATTCCAGGAAACAACTGCCCTTGAAAGTCCAAAATAAACTCCACGCTAAATGGTCTGCAAAACACAATTGGAGCCCCAGATGCAGGGAGCCGGGCAGACCTCCTGGTTCCTGTGGCTGGACCCACAGCCCCCAAGGCCGTGGAAGTCCCCGTGAGGATTCTCGGGGACACTAGGGAGTGACTCCTATTCTGGCGGATTACAACGCAGCCCAGATTCAGACCTGCCAAGATC